TAAAAAACGGATCCATGGTTTGGATTGGGCATCACAAAAATTGGTGGCATTTTTATTGTAGAAAAATACTGTTTTTAACGTAACAAAATGTTGTTTTATTGTAGCAAGTACCGTTTTTTTTATATTAGTAAAATCGGCACGAGGTAACTGATTCCCAAATCAAACGTCCCAACTTAGTATTATTTAAATAAGTGGATGTGCGGATTCACACGGAGCTTTGTGGGGGATAGCGGTCAGCTTCCAAGGATGCGATAGCAACATGTCTTGAAGGGGTCCTTCTCATTTTTTCTTTTGCTTTAGTCATATCCAATCATTTTCAGCATCCTCTTCTTTTATAATCACTAATTATACTCGGTAAAAGATGTTACGTTTACCAAAAGAAGAAAAAACTATGGAATAAATAGAAGGTGGAAGGTTGAATTTTGAAAAAGAAAGAAATGACAAAATGAGAAAGAATGACATATGCAAATGAATAAATGATGGGAAAAGTTTATACAGAACCTAAGCTCTAAACAATCAAATTAAAGCATACCAAAAGAAGAAACTATAGAATAAATAGAAGGTGGAAGGCTTAATTTTGAATAAGAAAGAAATGGCAAAACGAGAAAGAAGACAAAAACTTCATATGCAAATGAATAAATGATGGGAAAAGTTAATATAGAACCTAGGCTCTAAACAATCAAATTAGAACCTACCTTAAAACTTTCACTAGAATAGGTTGTTTTGATGCCCAAATATCATCGAATTGATCATCTTCACATCAAGATGCATGGACATGAGAAAAAAAATAGATTTCAAGTTTTGGAAATAGTGCACATCTTGTAACGTATTTTTGGAACGTCAATTTTCAAGATTTTCAAGTTTTCATAGATCTGCTTGATTTACACTAGTTTTTAAGCTTTAAATTTTATAACTAAAGATGAAAGTATAATTTAAGGCTATCACAAAACTTTCTAGTATTGAAATTATATTTCTTGATACTACTTAAAGGTAGGCTCTAATTTGATTGTTTAGAGCCTCGGCTCTTTATAAACCACACTCATAAATGATCCCTTGAATTATGTGTGCCCCATGTGGTATCTCCCTCTTTATTGACACTATATACTTTTTTAGTACAAAAAAGTAATTTTACTCCTAGCCGAAATTAGAACGTCACGTCCGATTAAAGACACTGGTAGTTTAAAAAAAAACGACTATACCTCAGGTGAAAAAGTATACGTCTTGATTTTACATTTGAGGGCTTGAGATTTGTTTTCTCTTTGAAAAATGAGAAAAAAAGGAAACATAGCTGATATTGTATACAATCCGTAAACAATATATACCAATGTAATAAGCAAGCGGCCTCGTCGATATTGAGGACTTGGGATGTACCATTAACTATGCTCATGTGCTGGCGACTTTTGGTGGAGAAAAAGCAAATATAAGGGTCCAATTTTACATTTGACAGCTTATAGTATTTGTGACCTTTGAGTGGAAAATATTTGTATACAATCCTGAAACAATATATACATGAATGGCATTGATTCATTTCATTGATTATATTCTTTGCTTTCAATCGAATCACAAGATGGATGGACATGAGAAAAATTGGATTTCGAGTATTGAAAATAGCATATTGTGAAGCCTATTTTGGACCGTCATTTTTTAAGATTTTTAAATGTTCATAGATCTGCTCGATTTGTACTATGCTTGAAGCTTTAGATCTTATAATTAAAAATAAAAATAAATTTTCATGCTATTACAAAGATTTTCAGTACAAAAACAACAACTTTCGACACTATTTAAAGATGCGATTTACTTTGATTGTCTAGAGCTTCAGGCTTATAAAAACCACACCCTTTCATTCATTATATTCTTTGCTTTCAATCAAACCATAATAAATCCCCACGATCCCACGATTGAGAACCATGTTCTCTTGCAATCCACGTCTGGATTTATTGTTGCCGTTATATGATTTGTAAACATTATTTATTTGCTCTAAACACGATGTATGATAAAAAGAAGAAATTTGCTGAAAGAAAAAAAAGGTAATTTACTTATTTATTTGGATTCGTTTTCATTAAGAATGCAATTGCAATCTCCTGAAAAGAAAGGGTTTGTATACCTAAAGTTTGAGGACTGTAAGCCATGACATATTCTAATAGGGGGCATTTTTGCCGGTGCTAAATAAACGTGATTTCATTATATTACACCTAACTTTTGAACTATGTATTATCTCACTCGGGTTTTTCTTTTAGTATAAATAGTTCACCATTCTTTTAATCAAAATTAAAGGAAAAATTTTACATAATTAAGGTCTTAAACAATCAAATTAAGGCGCATCTCAAAAAATTCACTAGAAGAGGTTGTTTCAATGTCGAAAATCCCTCAAAACGATCATCTTCACCTCGAAATATATGGACATGAAAAAATGAATTTCAGGTCTAGGAAATATTGCAACTTGTAATGCATTATTTGGGACGTCAAATTTCAATATTTTCAAGTGTTTCTAGATATGTTCGATCTATACTTTTTTTTAAGCTTTAAATTTTATAATTAGACATGAAAATAAAATTTCAGGTAATTACAAAGATTGTTGTTATTTGAAAACCATCTTTCGGCACTATTTAGAGGCACGTCTTAGCTTGATTGTTTAGGGCCTCAACCTTATACAAGCCGCACCCAATTTTAAGTAGCTTATCAAATGGTACTTTAGGGGAATTTGTTAAATCACACCTAATGATGATGACGTTAAATAGTTAAACTGTTTAGTATGATATGATAAAATTCTCCTAAATCAATGACGCCTAGGTGCCACTTTCAGTATTGAAAAAGCTTATATAAGATGTTAACAATAAAAAAGTACGACAAAGTTAAAAAACTCGTTGCAAATGGTTGTTCCGATGTTGGAAGACCCTCCAATTGATCATCTCGACTTCGAGATCTATGGATATAATAAAAAAGATGATTTTCCTATTCAAGATCTTAAAGTACTTATAAATCTGCTTGATCTATGTTATTTTTTAACACGAGGTTTGAAGTTCTAAAATTCATAATTAAAGATAAATATAGATTTTCATGTCATTATAAGGTTTTATGGCATTAGAAATGCACCTTCTAGTAATATTTAGAAGTACGTGTTATTTTGATTTTTTTTTTAATGTTGACGCCTTATATAAACCTCACCGGTTAGTAAGCTACTTCAACTTATGCAATAAGCTTGGTCTCACCTTCCTTCCATTATGCTTTAATGAATGAAGCAATTGTGTTGAAAAATAAGGCGTTATCTTGTATTTAGTATTCCTGGGATTGAAAAATAAGGATCATTGTATTTATTTTATATATATTATTAAGTCACAATTAAAGGAAAGGCACTCAGCATTCCACATAGCCCTACAAGTATGGAGCTTAAGTTAAGCTATCTATTCAAATAGACAAAACTTTTAGAGTAGGGTATGTGTATGGATTTTTCTTTACTGATTTGGTCTAATAGAATTCCCTACAAAAGTCTCTAATCAAATCTATTAAATTTGACAAGAATATCTCTTCCTACATTCCCTCCTAAACTGAATCCTTATATCAAAAAATATTTACTAAAAAATTTCTCAATTTTTTTTATTTTCAAGTTTCCTAGTCCTTCCTATATTCTCTCTTTATGCCCTCCATTTCTCATCCTCCGTCCCCCACCCACTTTCTTTTGGTTTTTCGCCTATGCAAGGTCACAATTATTAGTGATCGTTAGATTTGAAATTGAGTGGTCAATGATGTGTCATTGTTTGTCCACAAAGTCTAAAATAAAAATTTCTCGAATGTTGCAACATAATTTTCTCGATTGGATTTTACATCTAATGGCTAAAAATGTTTGTGATCTCCTTATACCAAAATCAAATATGTCATAATATACTATCCCTATATATTCATTCTAACATTTATATGTAGCTACATATATATTGTAAATGCTTTCACTATATTTTACTCCACTATATCGATTATATATTAAGAGGCATGTATAATTCCTTTGTAGTTTTGAGTTCATTTTCATCTCATCACTTTTTCCTTGAATGGTAAATGAGGTATGTTGGTTTTGTTGGGGTGCAATGGTTGGGTTGGGTATTGGTTGACCCCGACCTAAACCCTACCATACAAGGTTTCACATGGACCTGACATTGACTCGCTCCAAGTCTAAGTAATTTAGACCAAGACTCGGATCTAAAAATTTTAAAAATGAGAAATTTATTTTTATATTATTTATAATATATTTTATACCCAGGTCTATCCGAACCGAACTCAATAGGGTTCAGGTGGACCCGGAACTGTTCCCAGTTCGGGTCAACCGGCGGGAATTGATTGCCAGCCCTAACATTTTGGGTACCATGTTTGGTAACTCTTGTGAAAAAAGTTAGGTTCTAACCATTTTCCTAAAATATTGGGGTACACCACTTATTGTTAAGCAAACAATTAAATTAGAGCCCACCTCAAAATTTTACTAAATCAAGTTGTTTTGATGTCCAAATATCTTCAAATCCATGTCTTGACATCAAAATGCTTAAATTTTTTAGATTTCATTTATCTACTCAAGCTACATTATTTTTAAAACTTTAAATTTTATAATTAAATATAAAATTATATTTTAAGGGTTTCACGAAAGGTTTCAACATCGAAACCACATTTTTTCAACACTATTTGAAGGTGCTTTATTTTGATTGTTTAGAGCCTCGGCTCTATACAAACCTCAACCATTTATAAATGTGGTCCGGCTTTTCCTGACACCATTAATTTAAGGCCCCAAATCTAATGATCCAGGTAAGCTAGTTCTGTTACAGATATTTTAGCAATAAAAAGGGGCATTTATAAAGCACTCCTTTCTTTATTCAAACAGTAATTATAAATTCCCCTACCCTCCACTTTAAGAAACTCAAATTTTTCTGGTATATCCCGAGCTCATCTCCTCTCCCTCCAAAATCCCAGTAAGCGTAAGCATCAAACCCTAAATTTTCAACCATTTTATGTTCATTACGATTAAATTCGTTAGAAATTCAGTTCAATTGAATCTTTAGTGCGCGTGTATATGAAGATTCATTTGGGCAACTATTCTCAAGTGTCAGTTTAGTTCTACATTTCCGAATTAGGGTTAGGTAAAGGTTTGGGTTTTTTCATGGTTATCTGGAGTGTTCGGAATCTAATTTAGTGGTTTTGTTTTGTTTTTTTGTTGTTAATTTTATGTTGATTATTTGTTTTTTTCTTTTTTTTTGAGTTTTGAATCCATTGGAATTCGATCATTGAATTGAAAAGTGAATGATTTGTTTGTTCAGAGAAGAAAGCTGCTTGTTTTATGTTCAAGTAACTTTTTATGTAATTTTCGTTTTTTGTTTTGGTGAACTTGAGTATGTGTTTGTTGTTTCTGTTTCAGCGTGACTCTGTTTTTGCAGAGATGTCATGTTTAACTTGGAAATTCAGTGATGCCCACTTGATTTTTGACATTTGGGCTTGGTGTAAACTTTCTGCTTCTAGGGATTGAAGAATTTGGATATTTATTAAAATTTCAGAGAGAGAGAGAGAGAGAGAGAGAGTTTAATTGGTAACTTATGTTCATCATTTTACCCAAAAAAAAAACTTATGTTCATCATTTTAGCTTGTTTGATTCATCATCTTTACGTTTATTTTAACAGGGACTTTGATCTTTTCTGTCAGGAACAAGAGGATGCTGTCTTAACTTTGGTTAGGCCATAAAAACTGCCGGCACTGTTAAATTCTATTGAGGAATCACATCTTTGTTCCAAATATCAAGTTTAAGAGGTTTATGCAATGGATTCTGAAGAGACATAGATTGAGATATTGGTGGATGCTCATCTTAATGTCACTTAGACATGCTGCAACACTTTCACACTGAAAATAAATAATTGGGTTTATTTTTTGATTGAGCTGATCCCTAAGGTCGTCATAGTTATTTATTAATGGTATCTGATATGGTAACTAGCATGGCACCCCTTCAGTCATTTCTGATGAAGATGGGAGTAAACACATCAGATCATGCTTCCATAGTTTCTATAAATTTGTTTGTAGCACTCCTCTGTATGTGCATTGTGATCGGTCATTTGCTAGAAGAAAATCGATGGATGAACGAATCAATCACAGCCCTAATTATTGTAAGTTTCTCATCATCTCGTTATAACCTGTGTTTTCTCTTTTTGCTTAGTTTTTCTTTTTGATTTTTCTTTAGTGCTTGATTTCTATTTCTTAGTGTTTTATTTGGATGCCTCTATTCTGATACCTTTGTTTTTGGCTTATTTGAATGGCAGGGGCTGTGTAGTGGTGTTATTATCCTGTTGACCACTGGAGGAAAAAGCTCTCACATTCTAGTTTTCAGCGAAGATCTGTTTTTTATCTATCTCCTTCCTCCTATTATATTTAATGCTGGGTAAGTAGTTTGTGGTCCACCTGTTCTCTTTGCTTTTCTTTTATCCAATTATATTTTTGAATTGATACTTGTACTCTTATCTGTAGGTAGTTTTCTCTATAGGGCACATATTCTCTCGTAATAGCACCAAAATGTAGAAAAACAGAGCACAGAAATTTATTTCGACTGTTTTTCTTGCGTTCAGCTTTTTATTTTAACTTTCTTTCCTTACTGAGCTGTATATTTGAATGCCTTTCCCTGATTTTGCTTCTCGGCTAACTTAAGCTAATGACTGAATTTTGAAAATATTCTCTCTAGAGTGTTTATGTGAATTTTAATGGTCTTACCTCGATTATTCCTTCACAGGTTTCAGGTCAAGAAAAAGCAGTTTTTCCGCAACTTCATGACCATCACATTGTTTGGCGCAGTGGGCACCTTGATATCCTTTGTTATTATCTCACTTGGTATGTTTATTTGTTTAATTTTGCTTCTTATGGATAAGTTATATTTTGGTGCCTCTGGCACTTCAACAAGAAAACTCATACGATGACATTCCTCCTTGTTCCTAATGCAATTTGCTCGTGAGTTCTGTATGAATTGATCAATATCCTAAATATGAAATCAACGGAATGCTAAATTTGTGTAAATTGTCATCACACAGCAAACACTTGACAGATATTCACAGTTTCTTTTTTTAAAGGGAAAAGTTTATATAGAGCTGAGGCTCTAAACAATCCAATTTGAGCCTACCTAAAAATTTCACTAGAAGCGGTTGTTTTGATACCCAAATATCCTCAAATTGATTATCTTGACATCAAGATGCATGGACATGAGAAAAAAATGGATTTCAAGTTTTGGAAATAGTGTATTTTGTAACGCATTTTTAGATCGTCAATTTTCAAGATTTTCAAGTTTTTATAGATCTGTCGATCTACACGATCTTTTTAAGCTTTAAATTTTATAAATAAATATGAAAATGTATTTTAAGGTTATCACAGATTTCCAGTATTGAAACCACATTTCTTGACCCTATTTGAAGGTAGGTTCTAATTTGATTGTTTAGAGCCTAGGCTCTATACAAGCCGCACCCTTTTTTAAATCGCTATTTGAGTTTCTTGAATATTTACTGGTGATAATGTTGTGGTATCTACGAATATGTGTACTACTCATCAGCGCTCGTCATCCCTAACTCATTGCAAGAGAATCTGAGGTTGGGATTCGAAAGTGCCTGCAATTCGTGGTCTGCTGCACAATATTCTCTAAAGAATAGTTCTTCTCTTTATTTCTAAAGTATTTTCATGTCTCATTGAGTTTCTAGATGTGTATTATTTTAGTCAATGGAGTTTTTGCAAGTTACTTTTATTAAAGGATTTGTTTTGGGTGTTAAAAAATGTCAATTATATTGAGTTTCTAGATGTGTATTATTTTTGTGAATGGAGTTTTTGCAAGTTACTTATATTAAAGGATTTGTTTTGGGTGTTAAAAAATGTCAATTACATTGCTATCATGTTCTTTCAGTCTTTCCTTCTATATTCATTTGCTGAATATTTTAAGTGATTATTCTTTCAGGTGTTATACTATTGTTCAAAAAGTTTGATATGGCTCTACTGGATCTTGGAGATTATCTTGGTATCTCTCTCTCTCTTCGTCTTACT